TTCCATCCTTCGGCAACTGCAAGAGAAGTACCTCGCAAAGCATCAACAACTATCACACATTTTTGTAGACCTTGAGAAAGCATTTGATCGAGTTCCCCGTGAAGCAATCAAGTGGAGTCTACAACGTTTGGAAACACAGATGCATTTGACATCGGCGTTGGAGTTCACCAAGGCTCGATTCTCAGTCCACTGTTATTTATAACTGTGATGGAAGAAATCACAAAGCCGATACGCACTGGTGACATTTGGAATCTAATATATGCTGATGATATCGTTTTAACAGCAACGTATGAGCAGAATGCAGCACAGATGTTTGAAGATTGGAACACCAGACTCGCCGATCATGGATTCAAAGTCAACATCAGCAAAATTAAAGCAACGAACACTGGTGAACCCATCCAATCCACAGCTACTGGACGATAGCCCTGTTCAGTTTGTAAAGCTGGTGTAGGTAACAATTCAATCAATTGTCAACAGTGTAACCAATGGTGTCACAAACGTTGTTCAAAAACAATTGGTAATTTATCTAAAGTGTCCAATTTTGTTTGTCCTGCTTGCATCAATCCACAATAAATTCGAAATAACAATGTTTTTGAAGCCATTAAGGTAGAAAAAGTCACATCGTTTCAATATCTAGGGGATGTTCTAGATTGTACTGGAACAACTGAAGCTGCCGTTCGAGCAAATCCTATCGATTAAAACTAACGATCCTCAAAATAAATAAAACACCACAAACTAACGAAATGATTCGCGGGGCTATATAAGGAGAAACTGCGATATGATTATGATAGGTATTCGGGCTGCTGTAGGGAAGAAACACGTGTTCAGCCTATCCAAACGACCTACTATTCTTTTCTTTTCTTCTTTTCACTCCTGCGTATTATTTTTCTTGGTTCATACATTAGTGCAACCGCAACAAACTAGACTAACAATAAAAAACGCATCGAATTTGATCGAGGCAGAAAACATGAGTAGTATACTCAATAGAGAAAATTTTCTACATCCACGATTACCGATGGTTTCTACCGATTTGCCCTTCAGCTTCAAACGACTACAATTTTCTGTACGTCTTGCCTTTGCAATCACCATAAACAAGATCCAAGGAGTCAAGGACAATCTATGAATGTTATCGCTTTAAGTTTAGAAAACACGTGCTCTTCATAGGACAATTATGTTGCGTGCTCACGCGTTGGCACCCTTAAAAAACCTTACATCTATGCACCTTATGAAGTAACAAAAAACATGGTATATTTTTTAGCATTAATTTAAAATACAAATGTAATAAATTAGTGTAAAAAACACACATTTTTATTCAACAAAATAGTCATCAAATAATGGCGTTACAAAGTACGCCGGGTCAGCTAGTAATATATAGATGTTACCAAACGCGATATGCTGCAACCCTCCTAGTTTTTAAAAAAGGTATTCTGCGTTTTGGTTTGTTAGGAAAGAAAAACTGTGGTTTACCTCATCATTTATTTCGTAACTTTAGTAGAAGAAATGCATTTTTAAAATGAAGGTTCAAAAACTGATGTCGTAAATATTTTTGAATTTTCATTATTTGATACATTGATTTCAAGATCAGATGATGGTGATACCCGAGGAAAAGAATTAAAGTAACTGATCATAAATACTTTGAGTGCGTATATTTAAAATTGTAAAGCAAGAGTGGAAAGAATTTGTTTTGGGAATCAAGAAAATTTTAGTTAATGAGTTAAAATCGGACAAATTTTTATCCAACTTGTGTAAACCACCCATAACATTTCTAAACTACTGAAACTATTAGCTATTCGCCACTAAATTTTATATTTTTCTTTCATTTGGTTTTTCATTAAAAAATGATTAAAAATCAACCTTTTAGTGCTGTGAGAATTGGTGGTTATATTTGCATATATTGTTGATAATACTTTAAAAATTCTACCTTGAATAAAAATTTTATTTAATTCGTTTAGTGTCATATGCATGGGTTCAAAACGTTCAACTAACCAAACTTAACAAACGAATTCAATTGATCCATGCTAACAGCAATGTACTTGGGGTTAGAAGACATTGATATACCTCTCGACTCGGTAAAACTGAAAAATTATAAAACTTTGTTATTTTTTTAAGCCAATCATTCACTCAATAATCTCGGTGAAATTTAAAAAACATTGAAAAGCGCCCATCCATAAACGTTGAGACCTTGCAGAGATACATTCAAAAATAATCTTAAAACTTAGTTTTGGTGGTTTAGATCTTTAAAGACAGTGTAAATAAAAGCATTATCACCATGGGAATAATGTGTTGATTGATATAAAAAAAATTTTGAGAATTTTAGGAAAATTTTCGATTATAAAATTTTTATCAAGAAATATAACAATCCTGTCTATATTTATTTTTTTAATCCTATCGGTATCATTTCCATATAAAATGAATTTAATTTATGACAATTTTTAGAAAAATCATTTTCATTTCCTATCTTTCAGATTTTGAAAACGCTGTACAACAACTTTAGAAATTGTATTCCAAAAACAATTGAGAAACGTTTAAGGCCCATTAACTTAACAATCCCCAATGAAGTCTATTCATGGGAAGATATACATGAACTTTAAAAGCTATTCTAAATAATATCATAAATAATATAATTGCAGCAAATAAAATAAAGAGATAGTTAAATAGAATGCAAACAAGAGAAGCATCAAAATAAATAGTTTCAATCAAACAATAAAAGTAATTTTTTAGCTTGTTCACAATACATTTTTAAATTCAATGGTTTTTGAAAGCGAATCTGACTTGTAATGCAAACCAAAACTAAAAGTTATACAATTATGACGGACATAGAACAAACCTAAGAAATAAGCTTTCTTTCATATAAAATATCAAATAAAATAAGTTTAAAACTTTAATAATTTATTTATTAAAACAATTACATCGTTAACAAATTTCAATGTTTGCTTATTTTTTTGCCAATTTTGTTTTTTTTTGTCCTGCACTTGAGAACCAGAGAAAAAGCTTACCTACAATTTTGTTCAAGTATTGCTCGCCTTTTAGAAGTTTGAAAATTTGGTTTCTTTATTAACTTCGGTTTTTATTATTAATTTCATAAGAAAATTACATTGCTTATTAAGTGACTAAATCCAAGTTATAATTTTTAACATTGTTGTAACACTCGTTACTAACAACACCAATGTTATGACTTCAATGATTTTTCCAACACCAGTGTTGTAGCTTTCAACGATCGTCAAGTTATCGTTATTCTGTAGGTTCAAGGTTTCTGATAGATGAACACAACTGCTTCAAAAGCAAACTATGTTGAACGTTTATTTGAATGCCTACACTAAACTAATCTAAGTAACTACATAAATCACAATTACAACTTCGCTTCAAATCTCTGCTAGAAACCTCCCTATCACAAGTCCATATGAATAGGGAATAATCTATCCAAATGGTTGACTTTCATCTTTGCCCGTTGTCTTTCGTGGTCATAAGTCCTGTAGATCACGTTATTTATCTTGCTAATGACCTTGTTCAAAAATTCCGTGAGAGTTTCGCGAGCATCTTGATTTTCTGCAAACAGACCAGGTCTTTGCTCTTGATACCTGCGTTATTTTTTTTTTTAATCACGCCACATTTCCGTTGTTTCGGTTCCTCTAGCCATAGACAGACGTCGTGGTCCTTTCTTGATTTTGTTTGCACTTAAAGCAAGTGCTTTCTCTTTATTGATTTTACGAAAAGCTGAATGACCAAACGAAGAACTTAGCTGCATGTTTTAATATTTACTTTCGACATTTTTCCTGTCGATTAGTGATAAAGCGATGCAAATTTCATCCGCATCAGCAATGAAGCCGTCGTTAATGTCGTCATCCAGGTAGACAAGGACTTCTTTCTAGGTGCATGTTGGAGGCGTTATTTCATATTTTACATCGTCTGTACCACCAATTCTTGTCCGTGGTCGCTGTTAGAAAGGTAAGTAGGTGAGATGCTGGTAGCATGATCCGAATGGTAGTCCTACTGCATATCAAAAGTTTCAGTGTCTTTATCACAGCCAATATTTTCAAAACCTTTCTTGTCGTTTACGTGATCAGCTTCATTATTACAGTACCACTTCCTTTTTTCACATTAACACGTGGTGGTGGAATGACAAAAGTGAATGAGTGTACAAAAGGCAATATCTGAAAAGAAAGCTGCATACAAGCAATGGCAAATATCGAAGTCTGTTGATGACCACAAAGTTTTTCGTAAGAAGAACAACTATGCAAAACATCAAGTCACACTGGCTTGGACAGATCAGTGCAAGTGGCTCACTAAAAGCAAAGGTGAACAAATGAAATCTCTGTATCATATAGCAAAACAAGCAAAGCGTACGAAAAAAGACATGGTTGGTGCCTCATGTATCTAAAACAACAAAAATGAGATGGCTCTTGAACAAGATGAGATCAAGCTACAGTGGAAAGAATATTTCAACCGTCTGTTAAATGAAACAAATCCCATCAATGTCAACTTTGACACTCCACCCATCGAAGGTCCGATTCCAGACATCACTGTAGAAGAGCTTACAGAAGCTCTGAAAGCTATGAAGGATGGAAAGGCAGCCGGGCCCTCTGAACTCACAAATGACATTATCAATGCATCTGGTACTGCAGGTATCCAAACGTTACTACAACTTTGCCGTGAAATCTGAAGAAATTCCTCAATGCCGACTGAATGGAACAACAGCATGACAGTCCCGCTATACAAAGGCAAAAGTGATCCATTGAACTGTTCATCATATCGGGGTATATGTCTGTTAGAACACTCTTTGAAAATTGTCGAGAAAATCACTGAGAGAAGATTAACGTCGTGCATCACAATCGAAAATTATCAAGTTGGTTTCCTAGCGGAGAAATCAACAATTGATGCAATTCACATCCTTCGGCAACTGCAAGAGAAGTACCTCGCAAAGCATGATCAACTATCACACATTTTTGTAGAACTTGAAAAAGCATTTGATCGAGTTCCCCGTGAAGCAATCAGATGTAGTCTACGTCGACAACTCAATGTAACCAGTGGTGTCACAAACGTTGTTCAAAAATAATTAGTAATTTATCTAAAGTGTCCAATTTTGTTTGACCTGCTTGCATCAATCCACAACAACAAATTCGAAATAGCAATTTTTTTGAAGCCATTAAGGTAGAAAAAGTCACATCGTTTCAATATCTAGGGGATGTTCTAGATTGTACTGGAACAGCTGAAGCTGCCGCTCGAGCACGCATACGTGCAGCCTGGAATAAATGGCGTCTCCTTGACTCTATATTGATGCGGCGTGACATCCCACTACCACTACGATCAAGACTTTATAAATCTGTGATATGTCCGGTCTTGTTATATGGTGCAGAAACATGGCCAATGACAACCAAACTGGAACAACAACTTCACCGAACCGAACCGAAAATGCTCCAATGGATGCAACGAATTAGTCTGAAGGACCACATCAAATCTACCAAAATCCTGCGTCGTTCTGGTTTAGATGATATAAAGGATGAATGCCGGAAACAACGTCTGAGGTGGTTTGGTCATGTCAAACGAAGTGGAAACAGTGCCATAACTTTTCTTGCAGATGTTGAAGTACCTGGCACACGTCCCAAAGGCCGTCCAAAGAAGTCCTGGTCGCAAACAATCGAGCAAGACATGAAAGTTCTAAATTTAAATGAAATGGGTAAAACTGATCGTCTAATTTGGCGCAAAAAGTTGATGGCAAAGAAAACAACGTCCTACCTCGGAAGAACTGGGTCTAAACGATGATTGATATATATGCTGTTTAGTTTTATTTCAAAGTCTTCTGAATGCTGGTTTATCATGTCATTTAGCTTTTCTGCTTGTTGATCATATCTACGATTCATTTCGGCGAGCTATGTTAGAAATTGTCGTTTTGTTGTCCCACAGGATCCGGAAAGTCAAAATTATCCGGATTGATTTCTTCTTTTATTAGAGCGTTCCTTAGGCGGCTTACCAAAACCGCCTTCACTCCTTTCGAGTCGAAGTTCGTTTGTCGTAGTTCTTTCTTCAGACTATTTGTATTGAGTTCTTCTAGCGCTGGCATTCTCTATTACACAAAATTTCGATCTATCAAAAATCTTACATTTGACACCAATTTTGTAACCTTCGGCGTTCGTTACTACCAACACCAATGTCATGACTTCAATGATATCTCCTTTTTTTCATAGGTTTAAACTGAATCAATCAAAAACTCAGTTTTTACCGGTTGGCACTAGGCAACAATTGGAAAAAATGAAATGAGTCTATCAGACTTGGTGATTCTGACATTGAATTTTGCACATCTGCACGCAATTTTGGATTTGTTATTGATTATAACATGTCTTTTAACGTTCATACTAGGGCAGTATCGAAAAAATGCTCTGGACAATTGCGTAAGCTTAGGCTCATCAAACGATCTTTAAACAAGCATACTCTTCAATGTCTAGTTCATTCCTTTGTCTACTAAAAAATAGACTATGCAAATCTATATTACGGCCTGTTTGGTGTATGGCTAGACTGCAGTCGACTCAAAATTGGGCTGCAAAGTTGGTTTCAGGTGACCTTAAATACGACCACGTTAAGCCAAGTCTTTTGCTCTTCACTGTCTTCCAGTTTATCAAAATTATTTTCAAGATATGTTTAACGGTTTTTATATGTATTAAGGGAGTCGCCCCTAAACATTTAACGGACAGAGACATTTCTAGAACATTGCCACTACTGAATCAAACATTGCGATTTGACAATCCAGGTTGTACCTGACACAAACTTGGTTTAAGATCGAATAATATAGCGCAATTTGATCGTTGCAGCGGCTATAACATTACTACTTTATTTAATATCGGATTTCCATTTTTGTTTCTGGTTTTTAGCGTTAATCAGTAAACTTGAACCTTACCATAAAATGTGACCTTAAAATGCCTGGTATGTAAAAAAATACAATCAATCCTAGAAGCAGCAAAAAAAG